GGAGAAGTGCTACATGTTGGAGGTGCTGTCTTTCGGAAAATAAGTCAAACTAAGGTCCAGTCTGTGCTTGTTCAGATGGACATTCAGTTCTACAGCACCATTCAAAAAGAGAAGGGAGTTTTTCCCGGTGTCCTGGGGAACAATCCCCCAAACAAAATTGATCATTCACTCCATGATTGTTTGTGGGACATTGTGTGGAAATTGTTTGCTGAATTCACCTACAAATACGCAGCTCACTTTACTTCTGAGTATATCCTGTGAAGCACTTTAAAACATTCTTCCAATATGAAAGGCACTATGTCAAATGTAAGGGATGTAATTATTTATGATATGGGCTGCATGGCAAAGGTCAGTAAATTTACCTACATCGGGGAGAATAATCCTCAAAGAGTCCATTGGAAATCTGTAACCTTTGGAAGTTTAGGAAGAGAGTAGCAGGAACTCTCCAGTAGATAAAATGTGTGTGTGTGTAGTGGTGGGGGGTTCGGGGGGAAGAAAGAAGAATGTCCATAATGCAAACAGAATTGATGATCCAACTATTCTTATCTTCTACCAGGGTTTCCAGTGATCTTATTTCACATCCAGTTTCAGCAAGTTGGCATTTTTGATAAATCACCTCCCATGGGATTAAGTCTGAGCAAACCAAAGTTTCACATTTAAAACAGTCTTATGGAAACAGTATCACTTATAGAATCTGAGCTGGGAAACATCAAACACACACAGAAGATATTTTCTTCCACATGATATACAACACAATTTATATAGATAGCACCTCTCATTTTGGGAGGACATCTCAAAATACTTAACAATTTTAATCGGCACCCAAGATGGGGTGGGAGCCGAGGAGGTTGGAGAGGGGCAAGATGACCAAAAAGTCATCGAAGAGGTATGTTTTGAGATGTGCCTTGAAGGGGCAAGGGAGGAGCAATTCAGAGGGACTCTGGGATGGAGGCATAATTGGGAAGGTAAAACCAAAAGAAATAAAATGAGAAATGATCATGTTGCAACATAATTCTGATTGTAAACATAATAATGACTCAAATTTGATATAACACCTTATCAAGTCGTTGAGAACATTGCAAAGCACTTCACAGAATATATTGTAAAGTGGAATGACACAGAATATATTGGAACTGTGTATTTTGACTGGAGGATGTAATTCTTGATCTAAACCCTCTGCAGTTTCAGTACTATAGTGACAAAAGCAATGAAGGATCCTATCGTTGCTTCTGAAGCATAAGCTGTGATCCTCTCAGAGGGAAAACTATAAATGAAATCTAAAACCTTGACTTCATTGATCGAACATAAACATTTATTATTCAGTGTGAAAATCCAGAATTCTGAAAATATTGTACCCAGTTAAATTCAGAGTAACCCAAATTCTAACAAGAACATTCCTGTAACCTGTATCAATCCGTCATAGTTCCGTGAAACAAGCAAAAAATCAAATGCTGTACACACCAGTCTTTGTGCAAGTTGTGTGACACAATACTTTTACTGGTCACCAAGCTGAGGCAGACAAACTAGGAAGGGATTGCACAAAGAGGCAAATATTTGCACCAAGCAAGGACAGTATGTTGCAGGCATTTACAGTTCAATGACACCAGCCAAAGCAGAATGCACAATAAGTATACACAATAAGCATACTGCCTTCTAGCAAATGATTAGTTTGTAGATGCCATCCTTTGTGGAAATTAACATTGCCAGAATATGTGTTTATTTGTTCAAAATATAATCAGGAAATAAACCTGAAAGAGAAAACGTTTTGGAAAATGTAAAAAGTAACTTTTAAAAATTGTGCCAACTTTTATTAAAAAACTAACATGTAGATTCATTTATTCATGTGCTTATGTATATCCTACATAACATACATTATTTCAAAATTTCTATACATTTTGGCAATCATCAATTGTTCCACCATTGTCAAATTAGTAACAAGTGACTATTCTCCTTGAGGGAGGTAAGTGGGGATCTTCTTGGAGCTGAACTGGCTCCAAGGTGACATGTTTGGCAACAGAATATCAGAATTGAGCCCACTCTCTGTGGCAGTCTTGGTAGTCCAGTTCCTAAACCAGACAGGGCCACAGTACTCAAGGGTACTGTTGATGAGAGCCTAGCCAGCCTGGTTCATCGACAGGATTTGAAAGAACGGACCAGTCCCTGGGACCAGTCCCACTCTGCTCCCACGAACCCTGTAAACAAAAGCCCTAATGGATAGTGTGGTCCTCGCTGCACAAGCAGCAAGGAAGCTTGCCAGACAGTGCTTTCAATGTCAAGCTGACACTCCAATGCAATTCAGGGTGTGTTCTGCATTATTGAAGGAGCTGTTCTTCGTATGAGATTTTAAACCGAGGCCTCTACGTCTGTTCATGTGGACATTAAAAATACATATGGCACTATTTGAAAAGAGAATAACAATAACCTGCATTTATATAGCACCCTTCATGCCAGACAGCATGCCAAAGTGCTTAAAAAGTATTTTCTGGGGATCCTGATCAATTATCCCTCAAATAAAATTCATCATTCACTCCAAGGCTGTTTGTGGAACATTGCTGTGTACAAAATTGGCTGTTGTATTCATCGACTAAACACATACACTTTCCACTTTACAACATCCTGTATCCTGTGAAGCGTTTTGGAATACACTCCTGAGGCTATACCAAATGCAAGGATTTTTATTATTATATATTTATGCTAATAGCAAAGCACAATTTGTTAATAGCAGCTTAATGGTTAGACCACTCGCTTCGCAAGCGAGGACCTGGGTTTGATTCCCAGCAGGGCGAAACCTTGGGCAAGTTTTCTTACTCCACACACCTGATAATTATCCCTCAAGAAAAAAAATAATTTGGTCACTCAATCCACGACTGTTTGTGGGACACTGCTGTGAGCAATTGTCTGCCGTGTTGTGTCCACAAAATATACAGTCAATTCACTTTACAGTATATTCTGTGAAGCACTTTGAGACGTCTTGGAAGATGTGAAAAGCGCTACATCAAATGCAAGGATTATTATTATTATAAGTTTAAAAGTTGGTTTAGATTTGGAGAGTCATAACTCAAGTCATGCTGTAACCATTGACGTTGATTCATTTCCGAAATCACTTCATGGAATAATTTAGGGGAATGACGCTCAACATCAAATCCACACCATCAGGCAGCTTTATACTACACTTTTAGTGTCAATTTGATGTTGAGTGCCCACTTATCAACTCTGGATAAGTAATGTTAAAAATGGCAATCATGTTAGATCACCGGGAACCAAATTGTCATCACTGGGATCCAAAACACATCATTCACAACCAGGATTCATTGGTATCTCCAGCTGCTGATGGCGAACTGCTAATTTCAAGACAGCAAAGTCCGAGAATAGTTGTGAGGGAGATTATTGTTTGCTCTGGATCTTTAAGATTCAGTGGTTAAGCTACAGTGGCTTAGTGGTTCATGCAAGCGAAAGGATCTGGATTCGATTCCCGGGCAGGACAAAACGTTGGGCAAGTATCTTAACCCCACATACCTTGGTTTATCTAGCAGTAAGTAGGAACCCGGTTGATGGATTGCTTTTCCCGGGGTAATAATCCCTTCAAAAAAAATAATTCGGTGACTCAACCCACAACTGTTTGTGAGGGACTGCTGTGCGCAATTGGCTGCCGCGTTTCACCCGTATAATATTCAGTCAATTCACTTTTCAGTGTATTCTGTGAAGCATTTTGAGACGTCTCAAAGACGTGATAAGACGCTGAATCAAAAATCAAGGATTATTATTATTATTTGCTGAGAAAATTGAAGGCTTTGTGGCAGCTCCTTGACCTGAAATTCACAATTATTTTTATATCTTTATATCAACCTCTCTGCTCCCTCCGCTCAGCAGGCACCGACCTGCTCCACATTCTCCACCCGGCCCACCCCACCGGTCTCTGCCCCCATCCTTTGGAATTCCATCCCACATTCCCTTTGCCTCGCTCCCGCCCTTGCCTCCTTCAAGGCACATCTCAAGACCCTTCTCTTCGACCACGCCTTCGGCCACCCTCTCTCTGATCCCAACTCCCGGCTCTGGTCCAAATCCCCGACTGTCCAGCATCTTGGGACTTCCTCGCAATGTGAAGGGCGCTCTACAAATGTACTTTTGTATTGTATGGCATAATAATAATACTTGCATTTGTCATAGTGCCTTATCACGTCATTGAGCGGTCTCGAAGCTCTTTACAGGACATACTGTAAAGGAAATTGAAAATGTAGCGCGTGGCGAAACCGGGCAGCCAGTTGCACACAGCAGTGTCCCACGAACAGCCGTGGAGTGGGAGATCAATATTATTTTTGTGTTACTGTTGCCAAAGGTCACCCGGAGAGAGAGAAACTCCCTTCTCTTTTCCAATAGTGCCATGGGATCTTTGGTGCCCATTCCAGTCATAAATATAACCTCAATCAAGAGGGAGGGAGGGAGGGAGGGAGGGGATAGTTGCCATTATCATGAACCCCAATACCTTGAATTGAATCAGAGGCGTTAACATGAACCCCAATACCTTGAATTGAATCAGAGGCGTTAACATGAACCCCAATACCTTGAATTGAATCAGAGGCGTTAACCCTTCAATCTCCAGTAACCCCCCCCCAAAAAAAAAAATCTTACAAAAACCCACTGCGCTGCTCTGGAGCAAAGTAAGAATAGGCGATCTGTGTGGGTGTGAAAAGCGAGTGAGAACAGCTCAGAGAGAGGGAGAGAGAGGGAGAGAGAGAGAGGAGAGACAGACAGACACACAGACACACAGACATCCTGAAGGATGTGAACAGTAAAACCCTCCAGTCACCGCACTCTGGATGCAAACCCGAATCTGCAGCCGGACCCCCCCCCCTCCACCACACACACACACACACACACACACGAGAGAGAGAGAGAGAGAGGGAGAGAGCATAGGCGATGATGATGATGATGATGATGAACATTATTATTATTATCATTATTCTCACTATCATTGCAGAAGAGCAAAACACCGCACTCACTTCGTCACCCCGTTCTCCACGTAGGTGGTCCTGTAAAAGCCGACCAGGGAGCCCAGCAGAGTGCCCCGGAACCGGAGGGTGAGGGAGTACCCCTCCGCGGGCTCGAGCTCCCGCTCCAGCTCCACCACCACGTACTCGTGCGCTCGGTACTGGAAGCAGCGGCGGACGGGCAGCGGGTCCGAGCCCCGGCGGACCCGGGGCCGGGAGGTGATGTTGGCGGCCCTGCTGTGCAGCCACAGGTACCGGGTGGGTTGGGTCACGTTGAGGTGAACGACGCTGGTCCCGGCGTACGACCCCCCCTCCAGGTCGGGCTGCAGCTCCAGGTCGTAGTGCAGCGGGTGGATGTGGTCCGGGAGGCGAAAGTCGCTCCAGGGTCCGTCGGCGTCCAGCGCAGGCGGGCACTCGCCGGGCGGGGGCGGGGGCGCCGAGGGGTCGGGCTGGCCTGGGCTGGGGCCGGGGGGGCCGGGGCCGGGGGTCGTGCCCTGAGGGGTCGGGGGGTCCGCGCAGGCAGCCCCGGGTTTGGTCAGTCCCACTCCCAGCCCGACCGCCAGCCCCACGGCCACAGCCGCGCCGCACACCAGCAGCACCACCTTCCACCTCAGCCCCGGCCGCTTGGGGATCTCGTCGTAGTCCATGTCCAGCATGTTCCTGCACTGGCACTGCACTGCACTGGCACTGGCACTGCACTGGCACTGGCAGCTGGGGGTGTTGGGGGTGTTGGGGTTGGGGGGTTTAATCAGCAACAGCCTCGGCTCTGCTCTGCTCGGCTCTGCTCGGTCTCGGGTCAGATACAAATCGAGTAACGTGTCGGTCAGCAGTATTTGCAGCTGATGGGTTCCTCTCCCATCCGCAGGGGCTGAAGTGCACTCGGTTTCCTCCCCGGATCGGGAATGCAACAACGCAAATCCGATCCGTTCTGGGCTCCTTTTTTTTGTTTTGCTAACCCCAACCCCCAAACCCCCCCCCCCACACCCACACACACACACCACACCCCATCCCCACACCCACACCCCCCCCACACCCACACACACACCACACCCCATCCCCACACACACACACACCCCCCCCCCCCACCCACACACACCACACACACACACACCACACCACCCACACACACACACACACACACCCCCCCCCACCCACACACACACCACACCCCATCCCCACACACACACCCCCACACCCACACACACACACACACCACACCCCATCCCCACACACACACCCCATCCCCCCCCCCACCCACACACACACACACACCACACCCCATCCCCACACACCCCCCACACACACACCACACCCCATCCCCACACCCCCCCCACACACCCACACACACACCACACCCCATCCCCACACCCCCCCCACACACACCCACACACACACCACACCCCATCCCCACACCCCCCCCACACACACCCACACACACACCACACCCCATCCCCACACACACCCAAAAAAAAGCATCGTTATTGACTTCCAGCACAAATTGATGGCTCAGTATCGAACTTCATCTTTGATGTATTGTTATTATTATTGATGCTCAATAATTTCCGGAACTTTCGTGTTTTTTTCTAAAACTTTGAAAAACAGACATCTGCAGAACTGAGTAAAATCGCGTTTAATCGGTGAATTATTTCCCCACCCTTTCCCTTTACGATTGGTCCTTGCGATTGCTGATACTTTTTCTTTCTCCTTTGCACGACTTACTTCAAAACCGGATCCATGTCCAGTTGAGGTCGAGGACATAAATCAGCCAGAAAACATATATTTATGAACTCAGAAACTAAGAGGTTTTTTTTTTGCACCAAGTCCTTCCGACATAGAGGCGCCTTCCGACATTTGCCTTCATAAATCTAGAAGTGGCTAATTCATCACCAACTAGACTTTCTTTTGGGTACATACATTAACCCTAAGTGAAATATTGTTTTCCCTGATCTCAGAATCTTGCTGTTTGGCCAACTATCCTAAATGAGTCACTGTTTCATGTCCCAATTACACTTCTGTTGGCATTTTTTCGCCAACTTAATACAGTCAATCCACTTTACAGTGTAACCTGTGAACCGATGTGAGACATCTCAATGATATAAGATGCTATATCAAATGCAAAGATTATTATTATTTTCTTTGTCTCTCACCGATGCTCCATGTAACTCTGCTATTTGTTGCATCATCCACCATTCAGAAGTACAACTGACTCAAAACTCCGCTGTCTGCATCCCCACCCACCCCAAACTCCGCATCCCCATCACTCCAGTCCTTGCCAGGCTCCATTGGCTTCCTGTCGCAGAACTGATTGATTTTAAGATCCTCACACTCACCTGCAAATCACTTAATCTCCTATCACCTCCCAACCTCTTCAACCTGCTCACTCTCCACTCCACCCAGCTCCTTCGTTCGGCTGTCTTGGTCTTCTGAGTGTCCTCCTACCTTTCCACTCCATCACCGGCCATGCTGCCTTCAACCACTCCATCCCAAGCTTCTGGAAGTCCCCGCCTCAGGCCCTCTGCCTTGACCCTTCTTCCCCATCTTCGAATCTCACCTGAAGACTTTCATCTTTGATCGTACCTATGATCACTTACCTTTCTAACTCGGCATCAAACTCCACCATTGTTCAGCACTCCGAGATGCCACCCTATGTGAAGGGCATGATATAAATGCGAGTTATTGTCGTTAATTTGGAGTCAGTTTTCCCTCAGTTGCTAACATGGAAATGGTCCTAAGGCTAAGAGCATGAGAAACTTCAGGCCACAGATTTCTATCACAGAAAGAACTGATTGTCTCCACAGTTGTTTGCTAAGCAGAGAACTATAACAGGCAGTCCAAAGCCAGGAGCAGAATTGCAACCATAAATTTTAAGTATTAATGTGTGAAGCTCTGTTTCATTTTGGAGCATTGAACAGTAAAACCACACTTGTACTGTTTAACCATTTGCCACTTCCTCCAATGATGTACATGTAGAAAGTTTGAAACAGTGTTCTTTAATGTTGTGGAAGAATTTGTCAAGTGACCAATTCTTTAATAGCATTAAAAAGATCAGAATTCCATTTATTGTATGGCTCAAGATTGTCAATGGACCATGGGGAGCAAGCCCGAGCGGAGGCAGCAAACAGGCTGATATGGGATAATGAGGTCAGAGAGGTAGGGGGAGCAAGACCGTGGATGGCCTTGAAGGTAAGGAAAAGGGTTTTGTACTTGATTCTCTGAGGAATGGGGATCCAGTGAAGCTATGCAAGAACAGGGATGATAGGTTCCTGGAGCCTGGTGCGGGAGAGGACATGAGCTGCAGAGTTCTGAATAATTTGCAGCTTGTGGAGGGAAGAGTTGGGAAGTCCAGTGAGCAGGCAGTTGGCGTAGTCAAGCCGAGATTTAATGCAGTGAGAGGCAGTGGTGAATGTGGGCATTGCGGCAGAGGTGTGGAAAGGCGGAATGGGTCACGGCACAAATGTGGAGTTTGAAGGATAGCTGAGGGTCGAAAAGGAGACCGAGGTTTCGGATTGGCTCGGTGAGGTGAAGAAAGCAGCCATGAATGGTGATAGTGCCAGAGGCTGAGGCTCTGCCTGGAGCCAAGCAGGAGGGCCTCTGTCTTGCCAACATTACTTGTCCAGGACTTGATGGCAGACAGACAATTAGCCAGGACATTAACGGTCATGGAGTCGAGGGTGGAGGCGGAGAGATAGAGTTGGGTGTCATCCGCATACATGTGGAAATTGACCCCATGGCTGCGGATGACATTGCCGAGGGGGAGCATGTATAGATTGAAGAGGAGGGGACCGAGGACAGAGCCATGATGGCCACCATACATGACAATGTGGAGGCTGTAGGAGAAGCCATGGGTGGCCACGAAGTACAGATGGTGGGATAGGTAGGATTGGAGCCAGGCAAGAACAGAACCATTGAGGTGGAGATGAGAGGAGAGGCGGTGGAGAAGTATAGAGTAGTCAATGGTATCGAAAGCAGCCGAGAGGTGAAGAAAGACAAGGAGTCAGAGAGAGCCCTGGTCTCAGGTGGACAGAATGTCATTTGTCACTTTGACCAGGGCTGTCTCTGCGCTGTGAGCAGCACGAGATCCAGATTGGAGGGGTTCATGGTGGGAATGCAGGGAGAGGAAAGCGAAGTTGGGAAGCGATGACTCATTCTTTGACCTTTGATCGAGAAGGAAGGTTAGAAATGGGGCAGTAGTTGGAGAGCAGAGATGGGTGAACGGAAGGCTTTTTAAGGATAGGGGGATGGCAGCTGTCTTTAGGGGGATGGGTACAGTGCCAGTGGACAGGGAGAGGTTAACAAGGTCTGTTAGGAGGCCAAGGAGGTGGAGCTGAGACATGAGGAGAGGGGTAGGGATGGGGTCAAAGGAGCAGGTGGTGGGTTTCATTTGGGAAATAATGGAGGTGAGGGCCGAGGGGGAGACAGGGTCCAAAATATAGAGGGAGGCATGGGTGGGGGCTTGAAGAGGAGCGGGAGGTGGGAACAGGGTGCCGGTAGAGGGGCTAGAGGTGGCAGAGCAGATCACCTCAACTTTGGAGTCGAGGAAATGCATCATCTCCTCGCATTTGGTGTTGGAGTAGAGGATGGCAGAAGGAGTTGGTTTATGGTAGAAGAGAAGAGTTTGGGGTTGTCCTTAGCTTCCAAGATGATTTTTGAATAACAGGATGATTTAGCTGAGGCGAGGGCAGCGTGGTAGGTCTTGGTGCAGTCCTCGCTTTCCTCTCCCAGCATTCCCACCATGAACCCCTCCAATCTGGATCTCGTGCTGCTCACAGCACAGAGACAACCCTGGTCAAAGTGACAAATGACATTCTGTCCATCTGCGACCAGGGCTCTGTCTGACTCCTTGTCTTTCTTCACCTCTCGGCCACTTTCGACACCATTGATGCCCACCCCCCACTCCTTGCCCAGCCAACCTCCAATCTGGTATCGAAAGCGGCCGAGAGGTGTCCTCCATGTGAAAGATGCTATATCAAATGCACCGCTTATTATATTATTATTTCATTATTTGTTGAGAATTTCATCTGAATATCACGTCAATACATTTCCAGATTAATGCATAGTTGTTATCCTTTTCTCTGTCTTGCTCAAAGGCAGCTCTGAGGAATTCTCCAAAACACAGCAGTTAAAAGTGATGCAACACAAGTAAGTATGTATTCCCAATTCCACAAATAGTGAGCCTCTGACTTCAATTTAACTGCAGAAAATGTATTCAAACACTTCCCACAGGAGGGGAAAGGACGTCTAAAAGGCCAATATTCTTTTAAAGCTATTACTCCTATAGTTTTAATAAAGTCCACTGATCTTCTTTTGAGATTCTACAATAAGTCTTTCTCCTAATAAATTTTCTTCCCTGAGCAGCAGAGGAGAGTAAACAGCATTGAAAGCCAACCTTGGCAACATCTTCTGGCCAAACAGTTCATAATGGATCCAGAAAATCAGGCAGCACATATCCCGAGGGACAGTTAAAATACTGGGTTTCATTACAATATTAATATTGTTCTTATGTTATGTCATAAATTTAAAAAGGTGTTATTTGGATTTGGAAAATGCTGCAACGCTCATTAAAAAATGTGTTTACCCTGAACAAAGCAATATTAAATTTAAATATGTAACCACTCTGCAGTCTAAGAAATATTAATCCATCAATGGTTACTTTTTTTTTACAATTATATTG